TGCATTTGTTGTTCTTGGTTTGGCGACATTTTCCCAGTATACTTGTTTTTGTTTTCGGGGACTCAAAGCCACCAGCTATGCCCGCAGCTCGCATTCCGAGACGTTTGTCTGTCTTTGTAGGACGAAAGGGAACGAGACCGAGAAAATATTTTTCACGCCTCACGCAAAATCGACTCACCTCCCTGTCAACCGTTGACGTCTCCGTTTGTGTATCCTGGCTTTGCTGCTGAGACTGGCAAACGCCGACCCCGGATTTCGATCACTTCCCGTTAGCACTCATGAACCCTGCGGGGTTTCGCTTCGGCGTCAGCTGTTGCAAGCGCTGGACGTCGTGCACACAACACCACAACCGGCCGGCACGGGTTACCGCCTCCAGAGACACGCCGGGCAGGACTGGGACTGAGGTGAGGTGCCGAGCCGAGCCGTGCACGCTGCCCGCCGCTAGCCAAGTCACTCTGGGGCGGGGAGTATCGCGCCAGCCGCCGCGCCGGCGGGCAGTCGTGGGGTATTCGCGTCCGCAAACTAAAGTCAGAGACCTCTGGTGGCTGAGCTGGAACTAAACATAGCGGGCGACGGAGCAGCGGGTTTTTCAAATTGGAGCTCTCTGTTTGGCCATGATTTTGTGCTTTTATTCGTATATTGCGCTTTCGATTGAATAAAATGGGTGTGACTTTTCAAAAATAAATGCTGCTCGCTGTTGTAGAAAAACGCTGTCTTGTATCAGATGCCTTTCTAATGTCTAAGAATGAGAGAGAACGTCCAGACCTAACCTAGTTGGCATGTTGTCGGTCCGAGCCATGCCTCCAGTGGCGTCTGCTCCAAGCGCTGACACGGGGAGGAGGGGAAAAGTGGCTAAATATTAAATTTAACAAATTAGAATTGCTAAAATCACGCTCATTTGAGGTCATAGGAGTCTATAGCTTCCGTAGAGAATAAAGTCACAGACAAACAAAGTATAGAATCTAACGAAAGTACATTAATAACGAAGAGAACAAGCCACCTGTTTCGAAAATGGCGGTGCGCCGTCGCACGCTATTCTTGGTTCCTCGGCTCCTTGGAATTGCCTACATTCAGGGGACAACATACAGCGCTGCGCCACGGAACATCTGCGAACTACTCATATGGCGGGAGGTTTTGAACTTGGAACATATCAAAATAGGTTTGGGAAGTACATTTTGATCCGTATGACCTTCATTCTAATGAAGATGCTTCCCATGATAAAATATTGTGGCCTAAAGTGGATCCCAGGCACATGATTGACTACTTTTTGGTGTTCCCAAGAGCTCGGGTTAGGGTGGTCCGACTAAAGCTTTCTCGACATCTTTTATTTTATAGACCTAATGTTTTTTCTTTAATTATTGATTGACTTTTTCTTTGTTTTGTGATCACTGATCATGTTAACCTAATGTTTCCTTAGAACTTCAATGTTACTTCTTCTTGAACAATTGAGTGAAAAACTTACTTATGCAGCTTTTTTCTTTGACTTTTTGTGCGCAAATGAAGTGAAAAACTAATATTCCCCACCTTAATTTAGAAATTGATTTTATTAAATCTTAATATATACTAACAAATTGTTCACATGCTCTCCCTTACTATCACAGTTAAGAGAGAATTATGGCTGTAGTGTCGATTTCTTTATAAACTGTGATAAGGGCAAGCAAGTGAGCAAATTTGTTAGTGTATGTTAAGATTTAATTAATACAAACTTTGAACGAAGGTGAGGAACATCAATTTTTCTCTTCATTTGCGTACAAAAAGTTAAAGAAAAAAGCTGCATAAATAAGTTTTTCACTCAATTGTTCAAGAAGAAGTAACATTGCAGTTCTAATGAAACAGTAGGTTAACATGATCAGTGATCACAAAACATACAAAAGAAGTCAATCAATAATTCAAGAAAAAGCAGTAGGTCTAAAAAAAAAAAGATGTCGAGAAAGCTTTAGTCGGACCACCCCCAACCCGAGCTCTTGGGAACACCAAAAAGTAGTCAATTATGTGCCTGGGATCCACTTTAGGCCACAATATTTTATCATGGGAAGCATCTTCATTAGAATTAAGGTCATACAGATCAAAATTCACTTCCCAAACCTTTTTTGATATGTTCCAAGTTCAAAATCTCCCGCCATATCAGTAGTTCCCGCGGGTCCGTGAGGTAGCGCCACGGGTCGCCGATGTTAGCAGCACGTTTTCCCCCCCCGGTAAAATGTGCCTAGGCATGTTTTCCCCCCACCCTCAAGGGTAGGTGTAAAATGGCCTAGGCAGTTTTCCCCCCCCGGTAAAATGTGCCTAGGCACTTTTTACCCCCCCCCTCGGGGTAGGGGGTACAATGTGCCTAGGCATGTTTTACCCCTCACCCTTTGTCACCGAGCTGTGTGACACAGCCGAGACGAAACTTAAGTGCTGACCCGACCAATAAATGACTTTTAAACCCGTTGACATCAGCTTGGGCAAACAGGTGATGGTTTCCCGAGAGTCGTCGCTCTTTTTTTCCCCCCACTAAGAGCGCCCAGACTGCGAGAGACGCGGAGCCCCCGAGGTAAAACGTGCCTAGGCACATTTTCCCGGGGGGGTAAAAAATGCCTAGGCACACTGTCCCCCCTACCCTCGAGAATGGGGGGAAAAACATCCCTAGGCACATTTTACCGGGGGGAAAACATGCCTAGGCATTGTACCCCCTACCCTCGAGGGGGGGGGTAAAACATGCCTAGGCACATTTTACCGGGGGGGGGGGGGGGTAAAACGTGCCTAGGCACATATTACCGGGGGGTAAAACATGCCTAGGCACATTGTACCCCTACCCTCGAGGGTGGGGGGTAAAACATGCCTAGGCACATTTTCCCGGGGGGGGTAAAACATGCCTAGGTATGATGTCCCGGGGGTAAAAAGCTCCAGGGGGGTATAACATCCCGGTTACACCGGCCCTCCAGTGTAAAACATAAAAGGCCGTTGACGCAAAAAAGATCCAGGTGGAGCTACTAAAGCCCGACACGGACAACACTTTGGACTCTCTCTCTCGCTACGGTCACAAAGGACAAAGGGGTTTCGTTAGAAACCGCCTCCCCCCCCTCATCCTAATCAGAAGATCCCAAATTTACAACCCGACTATAACGCCGCGCGGTGACGGCTTCGGAAAATGATGGCTGCTTGTATCCAAATGAAAAGGCGTTTCTTTTACGACATTTCAAGCCTGTCTGTTGGAGATAGGCGGGACTGGACAACCACCATAGAGCGGCGGGGTGTCCGAAAATTGGGCCGGGTGACACAGTGACACCGACTCGGCGGCGGCTGCAGCTGAGAGGCTGAAGGGCCGAATCCGCGAGGCGGTTGCTTCGGACGCCGCCAGATGGCGCGGTTCCGCCGGCTGTCCGTCCCTGGTCCGTCCTGTCAGTGCCGTGCCGGCCGTGCCCGCCGTGCCGCCGGTGCCGGTGTCGGCTTTGGGCTGCCCGGGGCCGGAAGTTTCGCCCCGGGGAGTCCTGGACGGAGTCCTGGACGGAGTCCTCCTGGACGCCGGAAGGACCGCGACGAGCCCTCAGGGAGACCGTCCTGGGGGACGCCTTCCAGGGAGCGGCGCGGCACGGCGTGCGCGGGGCGACGCAACGGCAGGTGTTGCTGTCTTTGTTGTTTGATAGAGTGCATGCGCGCACGGCCGTTTTTCCTGTATGCCTGTCGGCCTGTCGCCAAGCGAGTGACTGTCCCAGGCTTCAGATAAGGAGTCAGTAGGGCCCTCGCCAATTATTGCATTTGTTGTTCTTGGTTTGGCGACATTTTCCCAGTATACTTGTTTTTGTTTTCGGGGACTCAAAGCCACCAGCTATGCCCGCAGCTCGCATTCCGAGACGTTTGTCTGTCTTTGTAGGACGAAAGGGAACGAGACCGAGAAAATATTTTTCACGCCTCACGCAAAATCGACTCACCTCCCTGTCAACCGTTGACGTCTCCGTTTGTGTATCCTGGCTTTGCTGCTGAGACTGGCAAACGCCGACCCCGGATTTCGATCACTTCCCGTTAGCACTCATGAACCCTGCGGGGTTTCGCTTCGGCGTCAGCTGTTGCAAGCGCTGGACGTCGTGCACACAACACCACAACCGGCCGGCACGGGTTACCGCCTCCAGAGACACGCCGGGCAGGACTGGGACTGAGGTGAGGTGCCGAGCCGAGCCGTGCACGCTGCCCGCCGCTAGCCAAGTCACTCTGGGGCGGGGAGTATCGCGCCAGCCGCCGCGCCGGCGGGCAGTCGTGGGGTATCGGCGCGACAAGACTGAACGACGGGGAATGCCAGGGTCGTCCTGTGATTGCCCTTTTTTTGGGGGGGGCGGGGGCGGGGACCTTTGCGCATGGTTATTACTTAACTGAAAACCTGAACGGCAGCGAGTACAACATACGCGGCTTTTAAAACTGGCATACAATATTATTGAAATTATTTTAAAATTATGTCGACGCTTCGTTTTAGAATCTTTGGTAAGTCGAGATGAATCAATCGAGCTGGAAACGTCCACAAGAATACTTCAGCTCAGTAGATTATTTAAGAGAGATATTACTATTCGAAGGTTTTTGAATCCAATCGATTGAGGCGCGGATATGACCGGACAGACCACACACTTTTTCACCAACATACCCCATTTAAAAATATATAAATAAGTCACATTTTTGTGAAGAAACTTGGAAATGAGTTTGTTTATTACTAATTTCTCCTGGAACACCAAACGTCTTATCCGGTGCGTCTCCATTATGACATCATTTCTTGACCACACATCCGAAAAGTTTCACGTTTTTGTGTTGGCAGCAGAAAGCACCAGAGCTGGGCTTGTTTTCTTCTTCTCTCGTGTTTGGCTAACGGTAACCTGACCGAACGCTTAAAACGTTAGTTTCATCTTTCTCGCACTGTATTGCTACGTCAATTTCATCGATTTGATTTAAAAAGACACTGTGTATCAATTTAAAAGTATTCACGCTCAGTAGTTTAAGGCATGCATAAGAAAGGTAGAAGACATGAATTTTTGAGGAAGTCACAGCGCCCTCTGTGAGCGGCCATGTTACTCTACATGGACTTATCTGATTGGCTAGAACACGGCTTCCGGCGTCTGCGTGCCTGCTTGCCACACGAGGAGAAATTTTCTGTCCTTCTGCCATACTTTCCGGTTGAGGTAAGGCCGTTTGGGACGACTCTCGCGAAGATTTATTGAATATGACTTTTAGTAAGTCAAGTTCGTGTAAACTGTGTGCCAGTCGACGTCCCCAAACCCTCCAACGACAGTTGGGTTGAGAAGTTAAAGTGTAATTATCTTGCATTTTAAGCATTTTTCGTCTTTTTCCAGACCTTCTCTCCGGACTTGCACAAGTAGGAACTCGTCTAACGAATTCCACCTCAAACAAACTCTCGCAACTAAAAGTACTCAACCCAAACATCAAAATGTAAGTATGTTACCGCCCTACTCGGCATTTTTCTCTGTGCGTGTCTCGCGAACCGTGCACCTCGATTTGTCTTTGAGGTTATGGCTTGGCCATGCCTGAGCGGCGTGTGCTGCCATGCCGTGCTTGACACGACGTACGTCATGGTTCGTGTCACTCGCCATAGCCTTGCCTCCCCTCCAATACGGTTATTCGCTGGAGTGATCTTTGGAAGTGTCATCCTTCCTCCTTGTATCTGTAATTGTGAACTGAAATTTGACGTTTTTCCGGGCAGGTCTTTCCGCAGCAAGTCCTCTTACGGCGGCGGCTCCTACGAGCGCAAGAGTTATGGCTCTTCTAACGGCTACTCCGGTGGTGGTGGCGGCGGTGGCTACAAGAACTCGTCTTTTGGCTCTGGCAGTAGTTTCAAGCCCGACTTCAGCAACCTCACACCATTCGTGAAGGACTTCTACAACCCCCACCCAACGGTGGCCTGCAGGCCTGCTCATGAAGTTGAAGCGTACAGAGCTAAGCATCAGATCACTGTCAAGGGTCACAATGTCCCAGACCCCATCACCAAGTTTGCTGAAGTTAGCTTCCCTGACTATGTTGAGTCTCAAATTATGCGTGAAGGGTTCTCTGAACCTACTAGCATTCAGGCTCAGGGATGGCCCATTGCTTTGAGTGGCCGCAACATGGTTGGTGTTGCCCAGACTGGCTCCGGCAAGACTCTGGCCTACACACTGCCTGCCATTGTCCACATCAATGCGCAAGAGCGCCTGCGACCTGGCGATGGCCCCATCGCTCTAGTTCTCGCTCCTACCCGAGAGTTGGCCCAGCAGATCCAGATTGTTGCCAGGGACTTCGGTTCCTCCACTCGTGTGCGCAGCCTCTGTGTCTTTGGTGGAGCTCCCCGTGGAAAGCAGGCTAGTGAACTGAGACGTGGCGTCGAATTCCTGATTGCCACCCCTGGCCGTCTCATTGACTTCTTGGAGGCTGGTAATACCAACATGCGTCGCTGCACCTACCTTGTTCTGGATGAGGCTGACCGTATGTTGGACATGGGCTTCGAACCTCAAATCAGGAAGATCATGGAGCAAATTCGGGTGAGTTTTCACAACATTGTGCAATGATGACTTTTTTCTTACTTGAACTCTATGAAAGTTTACCTCTAAGAAGAACTGAGCACATCCATTTATGAATTTTTAATTCTATGAAATGATTTTTCTTCAACCATGGCTGTTCCTGCTATGATGATAGTTCTTTCTTGATTTTTAAGTGATGTTTCTCTAAGAAGAACTGAGCAGATATGAATTTATCCATTGTCTCTGTCTATTGACTTTGCTTTGATGATCATGTTATCCTTGATTCAATGATGGCTTTTCTCTAAGAAGAACTGAGCTTTTATATGGTCTTCTTTCCCAATAACTTTTTACTTCTTTTGTCCTAAGGTTCATAATTTGTGTGGTTTTGTTTCAGCCTGACCGTCAGGTGCTCATGTGGTCTGCTACCTGGCCAACTGAGATCAGGAATCTGGCAAATGAATTCCTTGGTGACTTCGCCCAGGTGAACATTGGCTCTCTGGAACTTAGTGCTAACAAGAACATTCTGCAGATTGTTGACGTCTGTAGAGAAAATGAGAAGGAAGACAAGTGAGTATTGATCTCAGCTGAAAGCAGCCTTCTTGTTGGAAGATTGGAGGTACTTATTGCTTTCTCTTCCTAGATTGTACGCCCTTCTTCAAGAGATCCATAACGAGCCCGAAAACAAAACGATTGTGTTCGCCATGACCAAGAGGAAAGTTGACAACCTTGCTAGGATGGTTAGCCGTGCAGGCTGGAAATGTGGTGCTATCCATGGAGACAAAAGCCAAATGGACAGAGATGCTGTATTGAGAAGTAAGTCCCAGAACCTGAAATTGTTTCATCCACATTGATCTTGCTTTAGTTCCGCCATCTAACAAACTGTCTTTCTCAGATTTCCGCAATGGCAAAATTGACATCTTAATTGCAACTGATGTTGCTGCTCGAGGACTTGGTGAGTGTTAAGCTAAGCTTTCGTGGGGTGGCCGGACAGCGCTGCCCCTAGAAGGATCCAGACTGATGAGGGATGGAGCACCCAGGAGTGGCCATTGGCCATTACAATGGAATCTGCATATATTATTGTCTTCTGTGCTTAACACTTAGTTCAGGAATTGATGTGTGGATGTCTAATGAGCCAAGGTAAAAGGGTTCTACGGTTTATAAGCTTGCATGGAGGTTACATGTGTTTGATAGTTTTTTTTTTTTATAATATTTTTTTTTCCTTCCTCCAAATACAAATGTATGTTGTTGCAGCTTTTTCTGGCACATTCATATAACTTTCAGGATTGGGATCAATATAATCAGGGGATTCTCTATCTCAAGGTTTTTCTTTCTGAAGTTAAAACAAGTATCTCTGAGAACCACTTGATCAAATGTTGGCTTTTTCTATTGTTGTGGCAAGTGCTACCTTTTATAACCGTTAGTTCCTCAAACTTACGGTACTGACAAAGTAATATTACATTGGCTGGCTTGAACATATTTAAATACATTCATTTCCTGATCCATAGTGGTTTTAGACTAAAAATGGGACTTTGTAACTTTTCATTGGAACCCAATTTGTAGAATGACTTCAGAAGCACAGCTGTTGGTTCTATTTGGTCTGGGTGTTGGTGGTAATTAATATCATCCTATTAATCAGTCTGGTTGTTTCCTGTGTTTCAGAGGCACATGCGAGATGATTCCCAGAGTTGGATGCTAAAACATCTTTCAGTGCCTCTGGCTCTTCTACGTGGAGGAGCAGCGGAAATGCCATTTCTTTTTAAATGCCAGTGTGGTGGATGTATGACCACCAATACTCACTACACCACACTGTGTTAGCCTGCATTATATGCAGTGCAAATGGCATTTCCAGTGGTTATCGGTCTGAGCGTTTGATGTTAGTTGCTTAGTGGCTGGTTTGTGTACCACTTCGCAAATGACATTATTGGGGCTGAGTTCCTGATTTGTTAAAATATACTGGAGGCTGCTTGTTGTGGTGAGTATTGGCCATCGGTTGATAATTTTATTAACCTGATCAAGCGCAGGCTTGGCGAGCAATGGCCAATATTCTTACAGGTGTGCTTGTGCTGTGTTTTAACTTGGTGAGTCATCTGTTTCAATGATTGTGGCTCAACCAAGCTTGTGCTTTCAGGCGCAGCATTCCTCCCAAAGTTTTTTATGTGGACTCAGCATCCATGCTCAGATCTGTGACCAAATTTGGGGTATTTCAGTAGAGGTCTCCTTTTCTAAACAATGTTTTGTTCTTGCAGATGTGGATGATGTTAAGTTTGTGGTCAACTTTGATTACCCCACTAACTCAGAGGACTATATCCATCGTATTGGACGAACTGGTAGGTCATCGAAGACAGGAACATCCTACGCGTTCTTCACCCAGGATAACAGCAAGCAAGCCCGAGACCTCGTCAATGTCCTGAAAGAGGCAAACCAGACCGTGAACCCCGAGCTCGAGTCCATGGCCGCTCGAGGTGGTGGTGGCGGTGGCTACAGAGGTGAAGTTTTGCTCCACTCTTGAAGTTTAAATTTATGACTAAATTTGTTTGAATTTGCCTAATTTTTCTTTTGTGTTCAGGATTCAACCGCTTCGGTTCCTTCAAGGGCCGCGAGAACCGATTTGGCGGTGGCGGCAGCCGATTTGGAGGCGGCGGCGGCGGCGGCAGCCGGTTCGGCGGCAAGTCGTTCGGAGGAGGCGAGCGATCCAACAGCTACAAGAAATTCGGTGAGCATCTCCATTCATTTTGACATTTCTTACCTCTTGATTGGGTCTAAGATTGTTAACATTGAGTGTGTTCCTTGTTTCAGACTAAAAGCTTTAATTCAAGAAATCCACCTGGTTCGTGTACTGGGATAAGTTAATTTCTTATACTCATGCATGCAATGAGTGACATCTGAGCTGCATAGCTGTTTCAGCACGATTTAAGTTAATTGGTGAAGTTATGTTTTTCAGACTTCATTCTTGCAAGCTGTGATCTATTGTTTGTTATTTTCTTTTTTTTTCTTTTAGTTTTCTTACCATTCCAAAGATTTTTTGGATTTCTTAGTATTTATTATGTGTGGAAAAGAAAGCGAACCAGACTAGGTTATTGTTTTCGTTGTCTTGATCTGTTATTAAAGTACATTTAACTGTTAGTGTAAATGAATGACTATGACAAGTCGCCATTCATAATAGGTCTTGACCGGAAGTATGGCAAAGTAACTCATTCCTTTTATTCTAGGAAAAAGAAATCAGATTTTAACCAGTGTTGTTAATCTGTAATTTTATTGAAAAGGGATTTAAAAAAAAAAAATTGCAGTATTAGTTACAACCTTGTTGCCGATGAGCAAATAAACAAGTGATCCCACACATCTGTCTTGTTTTTCACCCTTACTCCACCTCTCATCCATCACGTTTGTAACCATAGCAACTGTGTTCTCCAAGATGGAGGCCAGGCCATCCATGCTCACCGTTGTGAAAAATGGATTGGCTTCTACAAACAGGGTATAAATGTCACTGGACAGTAACGTTTTTGTCGAATATTGGTGGGTAAATTTAATGTTGTTGAATGTGCAGACCACATACTTGCACCGATTATTGTACATCGGTGATCACAAGCTGGGTCGCAGTGGGGTGGAGGTCCACATGCGGAACTTGGTGAACGCGCAGGCCGAGAGCGCTCGCGAGGAAGCCCTCACCGGGTTCCTGTTGGCGTACCAAAACTATTTCATCCACCTGGTGGAGGTGAGTGCCGCAGCCGCATGCCGCGCGTAGCCGCGCGGACGGATGGCTAGCTTCGCGCTTCGCCTGGCCGTTCAGAGATGGCGCTGGCGTCGCCGGCCCGGCGATCTTTCTCGAAGCAGACTCACGGTTCTCTTTTGGTTGGGTGGCTTGAAGCGCGCCCACGCGCGCGTCCTTGTCACTGGGGAGCATTATGTCCAATGATCGTATTGAGAGGGCATAGTTGCTGACACCAATGATCTAATTCCACGCGTCGGGTCGATACGGCACGGCGCAATTTTTGGAAGCCCCTTTACTTTATGGGGGGCCAATGCAAAGCAACTTGACAGGGAGCGAAGACAGTGCTCAAGGCCTGGCTCGGTGGACTTCCCCCCGGGCCTAGCCCACTATAAATAGCAAAATGAAATTACGCGCAAATTCCTCAGGGATCGGAAAGCACGCTCACGAGGCACCTCGACGCCGTGGTCAACTCCGACCCCGAAGACGGCTCTCAGATCGGGCGGGTGAAGATCCTGCTTGAAATCGCCCACATCTTCAAGGTACCCGCTGGCGGCAGTACCCTGCGCGTCCAGGCATACGCGAGGGGCACTGACGCGGAGGTGTCGCGGACTGCTTTGCAGCGATGCATGCCGTCGTGGAGCTCGCGCTCGGCGGTGCCGCCGACGCTCGCCTCGCAGGTGAAGCAGGACGCGGCGGCGGCGGAGATGGCGCGCCACGTGGACGCCGTGCTCAGCAAGACGCTGCGCCTCATGGACGCCGTCAAGAAGCTGCCGCCCGGCGCGCCGCTCAACCAGCAGACCGCGCTGCAGCTGCCGGAGCCCGAGCTGCTGGACGCGCTGCTGGCGACGCCCCTCCTCCCGGACGCCCGCGACGTCCTGGAGGAGCAGCGGCTGCCGCCCAGGATGGCGCTGTACGACGGTGCGTCGCGCACGATGGGCTGCCTACCTGCCGGGCGCCAGACACTCGCCGCCGCGCCGCGCCTCTCACGTTGCTCTCACATCGCAGACGTGGTGTGGCCGATGCAGTCCGACTTCGTGCCGTACAACACGCTGGAGGAGGCCATCGAGGTCGTGCTGCACGACACCAAGCCGCAGGACGCGCCGCAGCATCAGGAGGAGGACGAGGAGGGGGCCAGCTTGAAGACCGCCGATGAGGTACTTATCACGACAACGAAACGAAGCTGCTGGCTTTTGCGGATTTATTTTTCACACTGTTTTTGGGTTTGGGGGACAGGGAAAGAAACGTGGGTTGAGGAACGCGCGGAGGGAATACAGCTGAACTTTGTCCTTGTCTTCAGATTCCCATCATGTCACAGAGAGCGTAGTACTTCCGACGCGCCGCCACCGACTTGTCCAGGCAGCCGTAGAGATCGTTCACTTTGAGGCAGTCCGTTTTGCTCATGGCCTCGCGCTGCCCGAGCTTGGCCCCCTTCGTCTTGGGCGTTATAGTCGGCTTTCCTTTGCCGGAGCTAAAAAAAACACAAAAAAATCATTTATTTTATGTTTTAATGAGCGATTTTGTCTGGAAGGGGGAAGCTTACCTGAAAAAGTTCTTGCCGTAATGCATTATGCTGTCGTAGTCGTACTCAAATTTATAGGTCGTGTTCTCCAAACTCTGCTTGTCGAAGTTGTTGCGGAATTCTGGAACATCACAACACAGTTGACCCCTCAGCAATATATATAGGTATATGCAAGTATTTTTAAAAAATCCTTTTTCGCAGGCTGGCGCACCTGGGATGACGTTCTCCACGTGAACGTCGACGAATCGATCGCGGTCCGCGCGGCTCTGCTCGTGGAAGATGCCCAGCGCGTGCAGCAGCTCGTGGATGGCCCTGCCCTCCTTGCCAAGGCAGTTGGGACCGCGTGCGTCGGGCGGCTGCAGCGACACGATCTGCGCGCCGCCGAACTTGCCCACGTACGACCAGCACCTGTGTGGGGAGGGGAGGGTTTCCAAGTGTAGTGGACGACTTGTTGGAAGGAAGGGCTGTCGTGGTCATTTCAGGGCGGTACGTTACCCCTTGGGGAACTTGATGGGCCAAATGAGCAGGAAGTCCTTGGCCTTGCCGTTCCATGGCACCATCTTGACGCACGTCATGAACTTGATGGTCCTGATGGCTTTGTAGATGGTGATGTAGCTGTCCGTGTCTGAATTGTGTGAATAGCGTCGTTAAAACAACAGACTGACTCGTACTTGACAGGTGTGCATTTCTATTTTCGTCGAGCTCACCGTAAAGGGGACTTATGACGTAGGGCACCGTCCTGTTAGGCCAAAGCCGCTCTGGAAACACGTCCCACCGCAGCCCCACCCGCCAGTAGTCGTAGGCCTGCATATCAATGAGGCGGTCAGTCTCGGGTTCGATCACCGGCACCGGCGGATTCATAACGAAAGAGAAGATAAAACAAAAAATACTTCATACGTCACTGCTCATCGCCATGTCGCCTTCGAGCAGCCCCGGCACCACTTCCGGGTCCTGTCCGGAAGCCTGCAGGATCTCCAGGTCCTCCGGGTCCATCCGCACTGCAAATGCATTGTGTTTAATAAATTTTATTTGATGAGCAATGCAAAATTTTGAAATGATTTTCCTCACCTTCGTCCGGGACGACGGGGTACACCCTGTCCGGGACGTGGGGCACGCGGGCGCGCGTCCTGGGGGCGGTGTGGGAGGGCGCCAAGGCCGCCAGCACGAACAGCAGTCCCGCCAGCCACATCCTGGCCTGCAACCGCCTGCAACAACCCAACCCACACAGATTGGCTTCCTTGTTTGCGGAAGGGTGGCAGGACAGGTCGAGCACATCGCCCAAGTCCAAGCCGGCACGCGCCGACTCTGTCTCGCCCTCTCTCTCACTCATGGCACATCCCGCGGGGGTGCGAGAGAGACAGAGCGCAAAGCAGCGCCGTACACACCGTAACGGCACGGCAAGTTTGAGTTGGAAATTTGACGCTGCATGGGGAATGCGTATACCGGCGCCGCGAGCGCGCCTCAGCCAACCAACGCCCACTTTTTTCGCCGCTGTGTCGTCTTTTTCATTCATTTTTTCGATGCCGTTTGTTCCTACACTCGCAGAGGGAAGTCGAGGCGCCACGACGGCCGCAGGTGTCGTCGTCCAGGCTATTCACCCTGCCGGCTTGTCAGCTCGAATCCCGACGCTTATGACTTGCGATACTTGTTTCAATTCCACGTCGGGGAGCCCCTAAAAATAGACCCTGCTACAGTTATCCACACGACAACACTCACACACACAGACACGGCGCTCGCGTCGATCCGTTTTTATCCGCTACCGCTATGCACGAGCGTGCTGGGTATCGAACCGGCCGTGCAAACGGTCGTAAAATTCGATATAAATGTAAATTTGGCGCGCAGCGGTTCGGTTTCGAGGGCCCCAATCGCCCCGGGCCCCGCGGCCCCGCCCAGCCCCACAGTCTGCCGGGGGCAGGGCGGGCAGGGCGGGCAGCGGGGCCGCCGACGATGGCCAGCCGAGTCCAGCCAAGTCGCCGCGCCGCGCCAGGCCCGGCCGCCTGGACGAACCGTTAGGAGGGGAGGAGGATGATCGGCCGGGTCAAGCGAAGGCCGAAGAGCCAAAGGCCGTCTGGCTTTGCAAATGCAATCGTCTGCTAGTCGTCTCGGCCATTCACGCCATTCATTGCGGCGCCGGGCCGGAGTACAACTCTGTCGTCGGAGACAATCGGGGCGGTCTTGCTGTCTTGTTGACGGCCAGGGTCTCACGAGGCCGCCATCGCCTGCCACCCGCCAGGGCCCGCTGGTCAACCAGGTCAACTCCGCTCCGCCCGTCGCTCCAACACTTACCTCTTTACAAACGCGTGCGCGCACACACATACACGCGCGATCTCGTTGATTTAAATGGAGGTGAACGATCCCTTGATCGTGGCCAGGCGGCGTGCATGGCGGCAGCCATTTCGCTTCGCCCGGCGGGCATCGTCTGTCCTTTGCCCGTTGGCGCCGTTGGCCGGCATCCAGAAGTCCAGATCGCCGAGACCGCGGCACGCAACACAGCCCTCCGCGTCTACACGTGCATTTCTTATCAATTTTTTTGAAACTTGCTGTGCACTTCTTCCGCAGGAAACACCCATCGGAGAAGTCGCCGTCCGTCCGAGCGCCCGCGGAACTCGGGGTAGGCAACACTGCGCGACACCGGCGCGCGGCGGGGCGGCCCGCCCTGCCGTCCGCGGGCGGCGGCGAGGGCCGATGCAGCGGGGGCTCGTCGTGCAAAGGGAGCAAGATCGGGGCCTCGCGACCTCAGACTCAGATTTGAACCGGCTGCGTGAACGCACTGAGCACTCGACGCGCACGTCTGCACCATGACGCCGGCGTCGAGACGAGGAGACTCACGCTGTGTTGTCGGTCCAGGGAGACGACGCGGTGGCCACGCGGTGCTGGGGCTGCTGGGGCGTCGACGGGGTGCTTCCTAGGCCGGCGGCACCCTCATGCCCCTCCGTGCGGGGTGGCGGGGCGAAGTCGGGGGTAGTGGGGCGGTCCTCCGGGATGCCCTGCACCGAGCAGGAACTCTTTGCACTGTCTCTGTCACTACGACACTGAGCAAGGCGTAGCGCGTAGCGCGTAGCGTAGCAAGGTGGTGGAGGCAAAGCCAGGCAAAGCCGTGCCGGGCCCCCGCCGCCCCGCCGCCCCGCCGCTCCGGGAGGGGGCAGGGAAGAGGGAAAGGCACTGGCTGCGGAGGGGCGGGGCGGGGCAGGTTGTCCAGACTGGCGAGATGTTCCATGTTCCCCGGGGTGCGGCGTGGCGGCGTGGCGCGGCTCGCTGGACGCAGTTTGCGCTCCTGGAGTCCTGGAGGCGTGGAGGGGAAGGGTTCGTGCGGCAGGGCCTTCTCGAGGGGCAGGGCGGCGGCAAGCCAGGGAATGCCAGGCGATTATCCGCGCTGCGCGGCACGCGGCTCGGATCTTCGGATCGTGGATATAATTCAGTACAGTCCGGCCGGCCGATGCCGATCGCGAAGTGGGTCTGCCTGAGTCGGGTTGTCGTGTCCCGTCCGCACGATCCAGTGATATTTCGTGTCGGTTTACCGTGTCGGCCCGACTGAGCCGGTTGCCGCGGTTGCCCTGCCCCTGCCCGCTCTGCGGCTCTGGCCGAGTGTTTGCCGTTTGCCATCGATTCCGCCAGCCGAGTGTGGTCGAGTGTGCGATGGTCCGCCAGGTTCAGTGACCGGGTGGCGAGTAGGCACAGCAGCACAGGGGCAGGCACCAGCAACCAGCAGGCACAGCTTGGCAGGCAGGGGGTATGGCCGAAGGTAACGGGCCGAGCACAACCTCGGCGATACTCCACGCTGCCTCCGTGCCAGGGGATTACTGGTGGAGTCCTAAAGCCCTACTTAGATGACTACGACAGCTCAACGTGCATCCCCTAAATAAACACAATTTATTATTCTTTCAAAAAAATTAAAAAAAATTGAAAGCTATAAAAAAATTAATTAACTGTCTATTTGCAATGTTATGTCGATGATTGTTCCTAAAGGCTTCTATTTAGAAATTGCCGAAAAATGGATAAGACTGCTGAGGCTTAAAAACCTCCATCGACTCAGATTTGACTAAATATTTGGACAATCTAAGGTCCTGTGGGCGTTACTTGGAAGTGCTTTAACGCGGCCCGAGTTGAACGAGGCTCCCCTCCGCGCCATCACACGCGACCTTGCGACACAAGAACCAGAACCTTCCACCGAGCCGAGCAAGGCTGTGCCAGGCTGTGCGTGGGCGTCAAACGCGGGATCTTCGAATCAGCTTCGGTGCGTGTCTCCCGGCGGATGACTCATCCGTGAACGGACGCCGAGTCTGAGTCAGAGCGGCCACACGAAAGGACTATCCCAAGTGATTCGTGCCCGTGTTGCGCAATCAGCACTCCCCCCGATATTTTTCAACAACAATTTTAGAACTTCCTTGATATTTTATGTTCAATTCCTATTTAGGAAGAAATAATATGAATTCCAGGGAAGTGAGGGAAAGAGCTAAAGACAGATAGATCAGTTCGGAATTTGAAATTTATTTCGTTAACACATGACATACTGACAAGTGTACGAGTGAGCGCTATGCCTCTATATTCAACAGTATCAAGATGATAATTACAATAATAACAGCATGGTTGTCAAGAAACACAAGTAAAACATCCAGCAGAAATCTGTTCTTAAAAAAAGGTACCTTTATCAGACAATTAGCTGTGACAAAACAGTTAAATTAAAAAAAAAAAACAACATAAGGGAAAGAAACATCCATACAGGTGCGACACACATACTAAAAAAATAACAGTCCAAGGCAGGCATTATCCAACAGACCACTTCCCACACACACGTGACTATTTTCATTCCCTTGATACACAACACACGGAACATGCCCCTGGCATGGAACAACAGGTCTTTCATCATTCAGTACAATTTTAGGTTTCACAGATTCACAGCTCTTCTTCATCCTCTGGCAGTGCAGTTTCTTGAGCTTCCTGTAAGAGGAAAGAAAAGAATAAATGTATCAATAAGTTTTGCATCAAAAGTTGCATATTTAACTTGAACACTTAATATTCTGACAACCAGCTGTAACTTTATATGCTTAACCATGGCACTGAAATTGATGGTACTTTTCATAACAAAAATATGTGAAGATAGCTTCACATTTACCTTGAGATCCTTTTCGATCTGGTGCTGCCATTGGGGATCCATGGTAACTTCTGGGGGAACGAGGGCAGGCATAGCAACAAACTCGAGGTTGGGGTCTCCAATCAGCTTGCGGGCGAGCCACAGGAAAGGCTTTTCGAAGTTGTAGTTACTTTTCGCACTAATGTCGTAGTACTAAAAACAGACAACTGTCAGTCAGCGCAACAGAATGGACAAACATTAAAATTCAACAGAAATGGGCAAGACTCACCTGAAGGTTCTTCTTCCTGTGGAATACTATGCTCTTGGCTTTCACCTTCCTGTCCTTGATATCAACCTTATTACCACATAGAACGATTGGGATGTTTTCACAAACTCGGACAAGATCTCTGTGCCAGTTGGGAACATTCTTGTATGTTACTCGTGATGTGACATCAAACATAACAATGGCACATTGTCCCTAAAAACAATAAAAAAATTAATGCGCTGCAAGGAAATATGACGCAAGACTCCTGTAGAATACAACATACCTGAATGTAGTATCCGTCTCTGAGCCCACCGAACTTCTCTTGGCCAGCAGTATCCCAAACGTTGAAACGGATAGGTCCTCTGTTTGTGTGGAACACCAGAGGGTGAACCTCTACGCCAAGGGTGGCAACGTATCTCTTCTCGAACTCTCCTGTGAGATGGCGCTTGACGAATGTAGTTTTTCCTGTGCCTCCGTCTCCAACCAGGACGCACTTGAAGGTGGGCATATCAGATTCGGCCGCCATTTTGGATCTTAACACAAAAGGGAAAAACACAATATAAATAAATCAAGTAGTGACGAAAAAGGAAGACCCTGTCAGAATTTTAAGTCTGGGAGACCGCCATAACCTGACCAGCCTCACTCTACTGTTGCCATGATGACAAACAAACAGGCTGCGTGCAAACAAAGACGGGCCGCCACGACAAAGTGAGACAAGCGTCCAAGCCAGAACGTCCAAGCGTTCAAAATACACGGGAATACACTGGAAACAATACCAGACAACTCCCTTGGCCGACACACGCGCGCGCGCGCGCGGAATGGGCGCCTAAAGTAACGAACGCATGCAATCAAAACCGAAATGCAGCTGTCGCGATAGCCACTGTTGAGCTACATAATTCTGGACAAAATACTCCACCACAGAAAAGGGCGGAACAGGACGAAAAATACAATGTAGCAGTGTAATACCACGTAATTCGATAGGACAAATAAAGAAATGGAAGTTCCAGTCACCGTGCCGGTGACTTCAACGGTACAAGGCGTCATAGGCGTTGACCATAATAATGCTCAATGTACTATATGCAAAGACCAGAAATCGGGACAGTATTTACCAGGCAGCACGAGAGTTTCTGAGCTAATGTAAAGGGAACTGCGTTGTTAAGATGACAGGAAACTAGCAGAGTGAAGCTAACGGAACCTACGAAAGTTCAGGAACACTTAACCGCAACTCCCGAACGAAGCCAACCAGCTCGATAAAGAAAATGACATTCCTCAAGGGGAAAGGGGCGGAGGACAGAAATATGGTTCAAAGGCGAGTAAATCTAAAATAGCTTTTAATGTGAAACTTAAATACTTTATGAGATGGCGCCATTCATTAAAATAAAAACAGAAACTACGCACAAGGGCACCGGATTGAGATACGCAGAGCGGGAAATTTACCGCAAACTTGTAGAGGATATACCGATTTTAGGTCACCTCAACTCTTAGGCGACGTCTTGCAAGGTTTTCTTCGACAAACTTCCACCGATGCACCCACGCAAAGCGGATAAAACTCACCAAGGACAGACGTCGTTTGGTTCACAACGGAATGGCTTTTGCTTGAGAAGCCCGGTGCGACTGAGATCACGGCCTCCTGGACTCTCTAGCTCGAAGAGGGTAGAGCGCGCTGTTTTCGCGCCATTTTTGAAGCCAGCCTTGACGCGCGCATTTGAAATGGACATTGGCGGTAACAAACTTCGCTAACGTGATCTCAACTTACTTTTAAATAAAAGTTGGAATATTGCACATTAAATGTGCTTCATTTTGATATGCAAGTACATTTCGAAACGACTATCGATTGTCATTCAGTGTTGGATGGAAGGGCACTCATAAAAGTCAGTGTTTTCAAAGATTTATGCATTTATTTAAAAGATGTTGTACATAGTAAAGCATTTACGAAAATTTTGATTAGACAATGCTTACATTGTAACATGGTGCATCAGTACTGTTCCGATTGTACAACTGCTGTCAAAAGCACAAGCACTGCATAAAGGGTACACTGGAGAGTTTCGAAACAACTGAAGACAAGGCATGAAATGAAAACATTAAGGGCAAGGTTAGTTTGGTTGGTTAGGCAATTACACAGTAAATATAAGTCAATGGGTTGAATTAATGATTTAATTTTAAGACTTCATCACAGGCAGCAAATTTGAAGCCAGTAAGCAAAACACATAAACCAACATGTCAACAACAGATAATAGAATAGGGCAAAACCAGCACTGAACATCAAGACACCTATGACTGGCAAGCTTATCTCTGTTGGGACTGTCTTAGATTGGTAGTCTGTTCAAAAGTGATATTTAAAATATTGTAAATTAAACCAATTTTAAGGCAAAATCAAGAAAAACATTAAAAGTAAAAATGCTGAGAATATACAACAATTTACAGCTTCATCTCTTTTAAAAATGTTTAAGTAATCACAGGTGTTATTTCTACTTGAGCTTGAGCAAATACATTGATTGCTCAAATCAGTTTGGATTATTTTTATTTGTCTGCAAGTCTATGAAAATAGCGTGATGAAGCATTTTCACTTTGTCTGAAACATGAGAGGTTTGACAATTTGAAGGACTGACACAATTAGCAAACAATCTTGCTACAGAAAATTATATAACCTGAGATATAAAGATATAAAGTCTATAATTTATGTTGATACTCTAACAGAATACTGCTTTACACAGTCCACAACACTTATCAGATTTCATAACCATGTGTAACAGAAGTATTACCAAGACCATAAAACAATATTTATCTACTACTCACTCCCATGGACTGTACAGTTGCATCCTACTATGCGGACAGACCTTATTAACAGCAGCATGCATTTGAGCAGAGAACATGTTCGGAGCATAAGTTAAATTGGCAACAACCTCTACTTAGCACAAGATCTGATTTGACTAACATGCAATCAGAAGAAGAAGAAAAAAAAAAACAACAAGAAATGGGGCAAACTTATTCTCATCGATTCATACACACACAAACTCACTCACACATTAACGGGAGACATCAGTTTAAATACCTTGGCATCATCATATTTTTTTCAAGAATTAATTTTTGAAAAAAAAAAAAGCTTTGCTTACTTTACTTCTTACAGAAGCAGCTAAGGATGGACACATTTACAATCACATTATGCAGACCAAAACCGAGTGACTTACAACTTTCTTCAAATGTTCCAGATCAAAAGACCACACAAAAATGTGGTTTTGTACACTCCTTCTGATTGAAAACAACAACTGAACAATGCAACCAGCTGGCTTTTATTCACAAAATTTTACCTGCTTTTTTCACTTAAGTTTTACTAAATAACACATCACATCACCAGGGAAGACAATAACACCACCAAAATTAACCAATGTTTCTACAAATGGTAAATGAAAAGATGTGAAACAGTTGTTGGTTAATTATGTCAAGGAAAACAAGCACCAAGTGCCTGGCCAGAAAGAAAGAGACAAAGCACACTTTACTTGAATACAGTGTTAGAGATGAAACATTGGCACTTTTCAAAGAATCATCATCATAAAAGGGGAGTACAAGTACACCAAAGGGTTATTTAAAATTCTTCAAAGAGAAATGGAAATTACAATGCAGAATCACAGAATGAATGCATAAATCATTGCAGAATATATTTTAGGGAAAAATCAATGATAAAATAGTATTTAAAATCAACAAACGCTGCCTTGCAGGACAACACAATACAGGGAATGATCAGCATCAATGAAACACAATAAGATTGAATTCAAATTACAACAGGCACCATTGTACCATGGCAGCAGTCTTCATGATTATCCCATCATTATTTTTAAAAAGTCAACATGATTCCTTAATTAAAAAGTCAACATGATTCAAGTTCATTTAAGAGATACACTAACAAATTTTCCACCAAAGTCCACCAATTTCCTGCTCAAGTTTTAAATGATACAGGCTTATTTTGAATTTGTGTTGCTGCTACAACCCAAGGAACACTGTGATGCAGTGTTGATCCCAAGCTAACAACAAACACAAAATTCTTCCTCTAACAACAGTCTAAACATTCACAACTTTTAAATAAAGAGCATGTAATGAAAATGATGAAAAAATGTAATGAAAGCGATTACCACTTATCTTGGGCTACGAGAAGATGGATGTGTCCAAACGTAAGAATAATCACTAAAGAGAGTTTATCAGATTTGTCACAGATTTCACTACTGAAAAGCATTCAACAATTTTTTCATCACAAAATTTGTTGCATGCTTGACAGATAGGTTTGTAAATTTAACTACTACATTAAAATATAGTAATTATGCACATCTCATTGCACATTCAAACACAGAACATACAATAGAAGATGGTGCAGATAACGAGAAATATTACTCATGGAAGATCCTAAAAGCCAAAGCTCCAGGTGGTGACTATTTATATTGACATACATGAATATATGTATATTGTTTCCAATGTAGTTTTGGAAACAAGACAGCAATAACATAAATGTATCATACACACAATTAACTGTACGACATACTTTTTAATCACTGAGTGACTGATACTGCAGCTGGAAGTAAGAGGACTTCATACTTAATAGCTTTGGTGAATGTCAGAGTGAAAACAGTGCAAATTACACTGATATCTGAGCCAAGTATTGATTTACAACTAAGGATCTGATGCCAAAGAGAAAACATACAGGCCCTGAAAGAAATTCTCTCTCAATTATGCATTGAAGAAACGCATGACATTTAAGACGAACAGACCTGCAAAATTCTGCCAAATGAGGCATGTCAATTAAGACAGAACATGGACTAGAGAAACTGCTTACATCATTAAAGAGAAAAAAAAACAAACAAACAAAGAGAAACAAATTGAAATGACCTGATGAGGAGATTCATCCAAATAACAAAGAAATACAAGAAGAGAAAAATTAAAATGAACTCTGTGATGACAAATTTAGTTTAAAATTTGTATCCTCTGACATGGCACATATGGGTGCCAATACTTTACAGCATCTTTATGATTTCAGAGAATGTAGTAAAGAGAAAAAGAGAGTTAAAAACAGAATTTATGATGTCCTGGCTTATAAGAAAAAGATTTTCTACTTAAAACTAGAAGTATGCACAGAGATAAAGATTATCATAATTTAACACTCAACTCCAATTTGTGTGAAACACAAATGTTATAAATAAAATTCTTTCCATAAACTTTTTTTTTATACAATTACTAGCTCAAAGTGATGAAACATGAGATTTCTTACTCATTTTCTCAACTATGTACAAGGGCATAATGCACACTATCCCTTCTGTCTTGGATTGTACTCTACCCAAAGGCTCAGGGATAAGGGAAAGCTTTGGTTCCTGGGTAACTTAATCCCAATACGTATAAATAAATAATATTTTTACTTTTTAAAATGTGGACGATTAAAGAACATGAAGTGACTGCCCGCCAGAAAACATCAAACTCTGAAAGGACATTGAAATGCCAACTATCATGTATACTATGCAGTTGTATTCTGTAGCAGAATCAGTTTAGATTTCACATCCTTAAAATTTGGCCTCTTTTCTGGATTAAGATGCCATGCCTGCAAAAGAGAGGTTGTGTTATGTATGAATGCTTTTCGGCAAAACTAACAGTGCTGTATTCATAAAACAATTGGTTGGTACCACTAAAACTTACTTGGCTCATAATTTGATAAACTTCTGGTGGGCAACCCTCTGGGGCTTCCATCTTGTAGCCCTTGTCTACATGTTTTACCACATCTGCAAGGGGCTGTGAATCAAAGGCAAAACATTATTAGCAGTTATTCACACATCTAAGCACACTGTATCAACTTAATTTAACAACTACTTCACAAAAAAAAGGAGACAAAAAGAGTGAACTTACTATTCTTGGATATGGTACCCTTCCAAAAGAATACACTTCCCACAGTAGGATACCAAAGCTCCACATATCTGACTTGTTAGAAAATTTCTGAAATGGAGGGGTATGATGTTTATGGTGAACACAAACAATCAAGAAAATGCAAAACCAAAAGGAATATTTTAAAACAAAGACTCACCCCAAGTTTTAGGGCCTCTGGGGCAGTCCACTTAATGGGTAGTTTACCCCCATCTTGAGTGAAACTTTCTTCACGGGCTAGACCAAAATCTGATACCTTAGCTACACCTTCTTCAGAAATAAGAACATTTCTGGCTGCCAGATCACGATGAACTACCTTTCTTGATTCTAAGTACTCCATACCAGAACACGTGTCTCTAAATAAACAAAAAAGATTAACAAAAATGTACAATCATAATCTGGTTGCCATGAACAAATTTTATTTAATAAAAAATGGTAGCTTACACAGCAAAATTTATCTGATCTCGTTTTGTCACATGGAGCCTGCCTCTTGAACGTAGGTAATCAACCAAACTACCTTTACTCATAAACTCTGTAACCAGGTAGATATGTTGTTTGTTCATAACTAGGCCAAGAAGTTGTACCAGATTTTCATGCCTCAATGACCTGAAATAATAGGAAAGACCAAAATTAGGAGATAAAAATTGAAGATTCCTGCTTACATTGATTATACTTCTACTAATTTTCAAGGAACTCACGTCATAAGAGAGGCTTCTGCAAGAAATTTTTGTGCAGCTTCACTGGAGTCTTTTAATACTTTCACTGCTACCTTTTCTCCTCGTAAAATTCCTAGCATTACTTCTCCAAACTCCCCTTTACCAATAGACTCTTTTAGCTCTAGCTCATGGTCATGTATGACCCAACCGGCCTCCACAAATGCTTTAGTGTCAACACAAAAATCCTGTTTCCCTTTCTTAGGTAAACTCTTTGTGAGTTGGGTGCACAGTCCATCAGCATCCTGTTCATAGTGCTGAAAAACAAAATCAAATTAATACCTTTCATAAATAGAAATTATGAAATGAGGTTTCTAGGGTAAGACTACAGAACAAAGATTGAAATACCTCAACAAGCTGAGCAAGGGTCTCAAAGAATTCCTCATCATCAATTGTGAGCTTATGATCCTTGTACTTCACCCGGTAATGCTCAACTTTTCCTTGATAACATACACACAGTGTGTAGTCTCCGGGAAAGTTTGTTGACTCCCGGACCAAAAAGTGTCCGTCCATCTTTGGACAAAGAAGCTGCTCTGCTCTTTCTCGAGAAATTTTGCCATGAAACCATCTGAAGCAAGATACATAAAAATGTCAAATGACAAAGTAAAATTATCTATCCAAGATGCAGGGTCTTTTTAATACACTTACGGCATAGCATTTAATTTCACTTCTGCTCGCTTTTGAGCAATGGTGGGAGAAAGCTTCACTGTATTATCCATATTGTTGTTATCGATTCGGATTGAGGTGGGAACTGGGGAAGGCGATAAAGCTGGTATATGGGAATGGGAGTGGGTGGAGTGGGATGAGGGAGTTGGGGAAGGGGAGGGAGCAAGCGTGGAACTCGTTGGGTGGGGGGAGCTCATCCAGCAGCCGCCTGGGTCCTGGTAAGGACCCACAATGGCCACCGGCCGGAACCGCTGAAATCATGAGCAAACAATAAACCTTCTGTACAGATGGGATACCATCCATCTGGAAACTCCTGCTAGAGTGGCACTCAGAAGAGGTACACACCTGTGTTAGGGCTGTGTTTTGCAGGCCTTGGCTCATTACGCCTATTCAGTTGGGAAAGCCCATGTCACAGGTACAGTTCTGAAAAGATACACGAAGTGCATTAGTGGAATCCCATAGAGATAATGAAGAGTAATTTTTACCTTATTCACATTTGAGATGGGAGTAGCTTACCCTTTCTAGCATTACAAATTAGCACCTCCATCATGCCAACCTGAAAATGAGTTAACAGAACATTAGCAAAAGTTGAAAAGAAATCGGAGAACAGCGAACTCAGGCGTACCATGATCAAAGTAAAGGTATTTGTAGTTTGGCGGAGCAACCATTACAATTTAAAACATGACAAGATAAAAAAAATAAGCTCATTAACATCATAGATCAAAACTGGTGAAACTTGAGACATATGTACTAGATAACATTAGATCTAAATTTTGCTGGACCAAGCAGATTATTACACTTTGAAACAATAATAAAATTATGGCTATTTAACAAAAATTAAAACATTATTGGAAGAAAAATGAACGTTAGAATGAAACGAAGAAACATATAAACAACAAACATCATAACAAGCCATTCTATTCCGGTCATGAGGGCACCCAACCTAGGAATCTGGCTGTTTACATGAGCTCATTTCAATCAGATGTCTGAAAAATCATAGAGTGGCATGGAACAGTTGCCCAGCGCCACAACTAATTCAAAAAGCGAGACAGCGATCACCGCTGTCATCAGAAATAAATGATATGGATACATAATAACTGTAAATGATGACAGATTTCGTTGGCCTAAAGTGGAACCTGAAGTACACAATATTCCTTAGTACACTATCGAGCAACTCACAGTGAAGTGACACGAACGCCTTGGTTCAACAAGTATGCGTGATAACCCACACAAAATTCACTTTTACTGATCAAAATAACCAATCGGAGTCTAAATAACAATCCGATACAAACAAAACACAATATCTACGTCACTCTTTCCTCGACGGCGGCCATTTTTCTTCCCTACGGACAGCCGAAGTCAAACTGACATTTATTTATTATGCCCTGGTGGTTTTGAAAGGATTAGAAAGCATAAAATTGCACAAAATTAAAGTATTTTTTCATTTTGTTGTTTTTTGCGACGTTCAAAGGGATAGATCCCAGTGAAGAATGAAGTTGACAGTCTGCACTTGAACCTGACAGTATGACCTACACCCGCTTCGTGGTTGAAACAAGACCGCCACAACACAACTCGGTGCAGTTCACTCCGCGGGTGCAGCATCACTGCAGGTGATCAGACATGGAGTGCCACAGGTGAGTCCATTTTTTCATTCCACCGTTCATCGGACACGCGAAAAAAGGTTTGCTGTCCATACGCCTTCAGGCAACAATTTACTATGGAGTGCACGTGCGGGTGAGGCAGGTCGTCGGAGTGCAAGTGGCGAGTTGCATAACGTCACACAGCTGACGTGATATCAGCAGGTTGGAGGCCTTATCATGAAAAAATATATGTTTGATAATAGAAAATGAGATGGAGCCAGTGCGAGGTGCATTGGCCTTACTCTCCTTTTCTTTTTAAGGCCCATATGTAACATGTGATGTGTGATATAATTTGTCTCAAGGTCAGCTCTGTTGCTGAGAGTCCTGTTACTAAGTCCTGCCTGGGCATCCACTGATAAGATAAACATGGCGGTTATGCATGAACGATGAAAGACAAGGAGCGTTCCATTTTTAGTTTTCAAACTGGCAATAAAAAGAAATCAAACTGGAGCATTGTGAGCTCTTTACTGTTGCATGGGTAGGAAGGAAGGAGTTTGGGGGGCGGAAACACCCATTTGTCTCTATTGCAGGTGTGAGCAGGTGGTGAACATGGAGGACCCTGAGTTGTCGACAGACACAACTCAAATACTGCCTGGAATCGAGGGCATCCTTTGTCCAACGTGTGGCCTGTGTTGGTAACTTTGGTGTCTCCTTCTAAGTTGCCAACTTTTCCCCCATTCAAAACTTTCCATCTTCTTTTATTTTTTGTAAAGACAACACAAAAAAATTCTAAGGGCAGCAAAAGGCAGTAGTTTCATATCAACTGCTCTCTGCCCACCTCATATTTTCTGACGGCTTGTCCATTACTTTCATGAATTCTTAAAAAAATTCCTAAGCCACAAAAAAAAAAGTTGAAAAAAAAAAAAAACTAAAATCATATGAAGTTTGACAGAGTTTTAAGTCAGGGGCTTTAATCCATCCTATCTTCCCCATAATTTCAGGTGTTGGTCTCTACTACGTTCAAGAATGGATTCCAGTGAAGCAGTGCCTGCTGGATCCAGCACAAGAAGATGGATGGACCCTTGTAAGATATTTCTTTGAAGAATTTATTTCACAAATGATAAACTGACCTAGTTATTTTGGTTTCAAAAATAAGACTGATGTTTTAATAATTTTGTAATCTCAGACTGAATGTCAGAGGTCATGTATATGAAGAGGCTTGCACTCTCTTATCATTTTGATAATGCATATGATGAAAAGGCCACAAACCCAAAGGATTCTTGTCACATGCCTTATCACATTAAAAACTTATCTATGTCTAAAACAAAAAAAGAAGAATTTATAACTAATTTTAAGAAATAACACAAGAAAAGAAAACTATTACTGGTTAAATTGGAAAGTGCTTTTCATACTGTATGTCTAAACAGGCTGAGGGACTATGGGACAAAGCTGTTCACTGGACTCTCTCCCAAGTTGTCTACCGGACAATGGAGCCGCCAAATCCTGACTGCAAAGAGGCTTTGTTTGACACACCAGACCCAACAGATGTTATCTACTTGCTTTGGGTGGGTGGCAAAGCTGTTGGGTTCTGCACTTTGAAGCCAAGAGGTAACATTATTTTCTTTTTTTGCTGAAACATTTTTTTTAAATTTTCACTATATTTTTATGTTTTAACTGTAGGAGCATTATATGAGAAAACTGTAGAGAGTTATGCCATGATGACCATTGATACAATCTTTGTAAGATCTTCATACCGCAGAAGAGGTCATGTTAGAACACTCCTTGAAGCTTTGTCAGAATCACATGATGACCTTGGTTTCAGTCAACCCATCTCTGACTCCATGGTGAAAGGTGTAGTGTTTACAATCCTTTTCTTAAATTATATTTAAATTAATTGATAACTGTTAACATAACTGATGAAATATTCTGTTTCAGTCCTTTCAAGGTTTCTGGTGGACAGCAAAGTCCATAGACGGAGGTTTTGGGAAATTAGTGGAGCAGGAAATGAAGGCTGCAGAAAGCTGGTGTGGTACACAATCCGTCATAAATACATGGCACGAAGCTCCAACCATGATCTAGTCAGAAGAAGTATTATCTAAGAAAATGAGATCTGACACCACTATGAAATACCAAAGATATTTTCAGGAATATCACAGATTGCCCTGTCTCTGTAAATAATTGAAATAATTTTAACTGTAGTGCATGAGTTGAGTCAAGCCCTAAATTAGGAAAAGTAGTGTACATAATGCAAATCCTAGTTGCCTTCATAGGAAAAGTTTTTCTTTTTTTTTAAATGAGCAAAGGTTCTTTACTCTCACATTGAATAAAACAAACAAATTCTGTTTGGCAAAGTACATTTATTTAAGACACTAATATTTGACCTGGAGAAGTACTGTAATATGGAATGAAACTGATGCTCACAGGATTTTTATCAGTCTTAGATCATGTGGTCATGACTGCAATGCAACTCAAACTTACCCATGGTTCGGTAATGATAGGTGAAATTACTTTCAGTTGTCATGAGAACTATAATGAACATAACAAAATACACTATATTCATTAAAAATAAGCTTAGGCCAAAAGTCAAAGATAAGCTTTTCACAATTACACCTCATAAAAAGACAACAAAGATGTTGCTTGTTTCTAAGAAGATATGATATTTTCCCTCCTTTCGCATATCCAGTGCTACATATAACATACTGTAAGATAAACATTCTCGTTATGCCCAGTTGGCATCACAGATTCAGACAAATGATAACAACATCTCAGTAAATTTTATAACAAAGAACAATAACACATACAAAGGCCTACATAGATAAACAATTCTTTCAATATATTCACTAAGGCTCTTACATTTTCTCTTTCCTATACCAATTACATGCAAATAGTTGATCATACAGAATTTATAAAATGACCAATTCAAATCTGAAAATTTTCTTACTGACGAAGAACACTTTTGATTTCGTTACATAACATGGAACCGATAACCATCTTCTCACAATTGACACACAAACTCAACATGGTGTCTTGAACTTTAACAGTGATGAGAACTAGAGACTGTGAGGCAAGTGTTTGTCCAGCAAACCTGAAACAAAATCAAAACCTTATGCAAACGAGAAAGAAGAGAAAATGAGACGCATAGAAAACTGGATTACAAATTGTACAGCTTACCTCAGAACCTTTGAGTCAGAAGAGGGAATAGAAGCAACATTGGCTGCTTCATAAATTTTATTAGAGATGCTCCTGGTATCAATACAAGCAGCAGAGGGTTTAAACTCTGCTGTATGTTCATTCATGCCACGCAACTTTCCTGTAAACAAGGAAAACAATAACGATTTCATGCATGTCCTTCAAAAGACAAAAGAAAAGGAAAGTCTAAAAATTATAAAAGCAAATATGATGTAGAATCAGGAACTCATTTACTTTACCTTGCTCTGAGAGGAAAAGAAAGTCTGCCATAGTGACAGCAGTTATAAGTTCTCCCACATTTGGCTTAATTGAGATTGGGCTCTTGCGTTCATCTTCAGCCACAGTCCAAACAACATCAAATGATGCAGGCTGTGTAGTATCATTCCAATCAATGCCAACAGTTCCTGACAAAGATGATCCTGGGGCTATGAGGCTGACAGGAGCAAACTCATGCACAGATAATCCTTTTGGCAAATCCTGTTCAAAGAGGTTATTTGATTATTGTTAGTATGCTTATTATATTAAACACAATCCACAGAGTCAGGATTAACTCAAAGAACAAGAGGTCCCATTTACCTTTGATCCCATTTTCAGGTTTGTTATTTCATCAGTCCCTTGGTTGGAAAAGGTAAGCTCAATTGATGTCATTTTAGACGAGAACAAATGTGGTGATCTAGTAAATCTGTAAGAAATAGCAAATCCTCTTCCTGACACCTTGTTCACCAGTTCTTGACTTCTTAATGGGACAAAACTTGGGCCAGAAGGCTGAAAAAATTTCATAAGACATGGTAAGATGAAAATACAGTACACATATGTTAATGTAGCAAATTTCAGTAGAAACAGAAAACGTTTACCTGGATGCCAGATGTGGATGGAACAATGTTCATTGCTGGCATGCTCGGTGTCAGGAACCCTCCTAATGATGGTGTCATTAAGGGTGCAGCGGGAGCAACTGAAAGCCAAATAAGAATAGAATATACAGTATTATTTTAAATACAAAGGCATTTGCAAACAGTAAACCCAGCAATAAGTTATGCAGATGGTTGAAATTTGACGTACAGTCATCAAGCTCAAGGAGCAAATCAAGATTTGTTCGTTCCTTCTTTTTGTCTGGGGTGCTCTGTTTTCCTTGCTTAGGTTTGTGCTCAGCTTCCTTTTTCTTCAAAGAAGAATTGCTGTCACTGTCACTCTGACGACCTTTGCGAGATTTCGGCAAAACTTGTGGAGGGTCACTGTCCTCACTATCATTGCTGTCAGATGATGATGATCCTCCACTTTCTAAGGTAGGAGCATCTTTCTGAACTACCACACGATTACGCTGTGGTGGTTTCCGCACCTCCTCCTAATTATGCAGAGTGGTTAGTTACTGGAGACCCATACAAAATTATGTAAAATGGTTAAGATATGGCATTGAATCCATACCTCAGAGCTAGACTCAGCACTGCTGCTGCTGCTGCTGCTACTGTCAGAGTCCTCACTACTGCTGCTGTCGCTGCTACTCGAGCTATCACTGCTGCTGTCATCACTATCGCTGGAGCTGTCATCGCTGTCACTTGAATCTTCTTCACTTTCTGTGCATAGAGAAACAAGGAAAGAGAAGTCTTAAAATTTTGCGATAAATATAATTTTTAGGAGCTGCTGTCAGTAATTACAAACCATCAGCAGGAGAACTGTCAGAGTTGTAGAACACCTCGCCTCTTCGTTTCATTTCCTTTCTGGTTCCGATCCACTCAGGCGGAGCATTCACACCCCGGTTCGACTCGGGAGCCACCTCCGGGAAAGCCGGCAGGTCGTGATAGCCCACGGCGCGAGTATTGATGTAATGGGAAAGGGAGCCCAATTGAAATTGTTCCCGATCTGCAATAGCACAACAAATGAGAAGAGAAAACCCTGCGTTTTAAAGCTGTGCATTGTCATTTTTGGAATTATTTTCTTGGTCAATATTTACCTTTGAACTGAGATTCAGAAACAGGAGCTGGTTTAGTTGCTAAAAATATCTTCTTGGCACTCTTGGCTAGCTTTGCATTTTCATTAGAAGGGAAAACAAACTGTTTCAAGAACCTTGCACGGTCTCTAATATCATAACTGGGGTCATATCTAGCCAAGTTGAGAACATACTGGCAGAGTAACTTTGTCTGCTTAGGGTTCACCAAATGCAACTTGACAGCTAGATTCAAAGTTTGAAGTTTTACTTGATCTTCCTAGAATGAAAATAAATTACCTTAGTTAAAATCAGATGACATATCACAGGCTTAGGGTCAAACAAACAATGCCATCAAAACATACTTCATTAATAAAGTTCTTAGCCATTTTTCTGAGGACATCTGGAGCAATGCGAGGCACTCTATCAGAGTATTCTCCTAAGAGCCACAAAATGGATGCTCGTGCAGCAGGCACACTTATGTTATCTACCAACTTAGCCATGTGTGTGATAATATCCTTGTGCTCTGCAGGCTGAGTCTGTAGGAGTTTCTTGATGACTACAACACTTTCTCCCACAACAGCTTCTGAAAATGGGACAAGGCAAATGGTATTAGTTGTCAGCTAGTCAATCAATGGAACACGAATTTTAAAAATATAATAGAAGTCATACCATCTCTATTTGAGAGGAGAGAGACAAGGCCATTTAAACATGTGTCTGTTACTTCTTTAATAGTTGCTGCACACCTAAAACCAAAGCAGAAAAAAAAGTTAGGCAAGATTTCACATTTGACAATCAAGAGAAGAGAGAAACTAGAAGTGTTACAAAAAACAGACCTCCCAATTGCTTGAATTGTTGCAGTAACAAATTCTTTGTCATTGCTGCTAATGTAAGTCTGAAATTCTCGAAGAATTACAGATATACTTGTTTCAGTGGCCAATGTTGTTAAAATTTCAAGCTTCAGTAATTTAATATGAGTAGCATCACTTGTTCTCACAAAAAAACTTTTCAAAAACGGTTCAAACATTCCCTGCAAGAGGAAATTCAGTTAGGAAATTCAAAATAGGCACTGCAAGCAAACTGCACATCAAAGTGCTCCATTCAAAATGTATAAAAACAAACCTTTCTTTGAGTAGACATTGATGCTATACAATTGAGAACAACTGATTGAACTTCTCGGTGAGATCGCAAGAGACGAATTAAGGCCTTGGCAACGAAAATAACTTCAGAGCGTGGTGCAAGGTGATGATACATTTGAGCCACACCCATTACCACCTGGAACAGGTAACAACCATTTTTTTTCACAAAATTCAAATACAGTGAGAAATTGTAAAATACACATAGAGATAAAATGCCAAGTAAAGAAAAACTGACCGAGGCATTTCTGCTCTGTAATAGAGGTCTTGCATTACGAAGAAGAAGACGATGATCTGGATCTAGAGTGTAAGTCTTTTTGTTTTTTTCAGTAGTTTTGCCCTTGCTTTTGGACTGCTTGCCATCATCACTATCAGAGTTATCATTTTCATCTATGGAGTTCTCTTCATTTTCATCATCCCCTTCCTACAATGGAAAAGAAATAGCAATTAATAATTATACACAACAAACGATATATTAAGAAAAGAACAATCAGCAAGTACCTCTGTGTTCGGATCAGTAAACTGAGTTCGAGCGTAACGTGTCAACATGTTAATAATGACAACCTGTCCCCATTCGTCAACATCAACAAGTAAATCACATAGTTTGCGATAATTCTTATGAATGAGATCAATCCGTTCTGGACAAACCTGCAACAAAATATCACAGGTGAAAGTATCATATCAAGGGACAAATACTTTTATCACAAACATAAATTGCAAACATTGTTCCTACTTCTTCAAATGCCATGACAGCAGATCCAACAACAAGAGTTGTTTTGTCAGAGAGAAGCTTCTCAATTACATGAACGAGCTCTTCTTTTTGTTCAGGATCCAAACTAATATTAGGAGAATAAATTGAGGGTGTTTAGAGTAATACTTCTGCACTCTAAGAATAAAATCAAACATGAAAAATTAATAGAAATTACTTCATGTAACTCACCTGTAGAGTTTGGGAATGGCATGAGCAGCAGTCTTCCGAACATATGCCGACATATCTGACGCTGAGTCCTTGATAGCAAGCATTACTATTGGTACAATCATTGTAACTCGGATGCTGGAAAGTACTCGTAAAGCACTTGCCCTAATTAACTGATTAGGATCCTTAAAAAAACCACACAAAACCATGTTTATAAGCTTAAATAACCACAATTCTTAGGCAAATAAATAAAGAACAGTCAATGTACCTTCAAAGCTCTTTGAAATGTGGATATTGATAGAAGTGCTAAGTCCTGTTGCTCTTCAGCATACCGAACTAGATAAACGTATACTAGCTTCTTCACTTCAATGTTCTTTGAAACAACATTTTTCACAACAGCTGGGAATAAATCAGATGCATCGCGACCTTTTGCAACCATCTAAGGCAGAAATGTGACAATAAATATTAGAAGAGCAATGACCAAGGGCCAAAATGTTGTCCATATGTTTAATATTAAAAGTACTTTATGAAACCAATAACGTACCCCTATAATTCTTTTCATGGCCTCAAGTTTCAAACCATCTTTACTGCTGTCTAGCATCTGTTTCAAGTCATCATGCCTGTCAATGCAGAAGAGAGAGAAAGGTATGGATAAGACATTAGAATTAATGAGAGTAATGCAGTGAACTGAGGGCATATTCTTAAATGAAAAGTGAGAGGAACACTTACTTTTTGTAATCTGAGTGGAAGAACCCTCCTGACGCAGGATCTGTAGCTAGCTCTGCTTCCACTGCCAAAGCAGGGCGATCATTATTGTAAGAGCCGTTGTTAGACATTGTCTTTCACTGAAACAGATAAAGATCAAGTTGAAATGAGATTCTAGTGTGGTAATAGGTCATGATTTCGGTGCATGTCTATCAAAGTACAGGTAATAAATATCGCCTTGTTAAAGATATAGAATTTAGGCCACTATCTGCAGGTGACATCTGATTAGAGGGGTTGTTGAGGTTAGATATGATTCATCTAGTTTAATTGGAGTGATAAAGGATTTAAAACACTTGATGATTAAAATGAAAACCCAACGAATATGAAACCATAGAAACAAGGGGAAAAGAACTGACTCAAAGCCCATGAATTGATTAAATTTAACACTGTTGACACATCTGTAAAAGCTGACATAGATGATCTACAGCTGAACCAAGTACGATTTCAGACTGTGAAAAACGTTGCGGTTTAAAACATAGGTTTACCTTTCAAAATCAAGCAAGAGGATCAACTAAATGCCAATCTATAACCTTCCCTGTGACATAACAAAACCACCCCCTAGAGAGAGCGGCTACGACAACACAACAACAACAAAAATCCTCAACAAAAACATTATCGGCACGGCACGCATAATCCAGTTCAGTTAGCTGAGCTCATCACGGCCTTCCTGATATCACGCCGGACCGGATATCAAAGAACTCTAGATAGTTCCTGGGTCCGCCGTCGTGACGTGACAGCGCCACTAGAAAGCGTACTGTCCTTTTCGCGCCTTGGCCGTCGGCCGTGAGTGTGAGAGAGCGAGAGACCTTGCATTCCAGTCTAACGTTGAGGCCGTTGGCGAGCAAGTAACCAAACAGCTCCACTCCGCGCAGTGGGACTGGGACTGGGAAGCTGAAAGCGAAGATGGCGTCCACGGCTGCCTCTGCGATCCAGTTTCCTCCCTTGTCGTACTCGGCGGCTCGCAATGGCAGGAACGGCAGCTCGGAGCGAGAGGTGAGTGGTGCGGCCGTCCGCCGAGGGAGAGCGAGCGAGAGGGAAGACCAAGAGGGAAGGGCAACCACCGGCATTGCGTTGCGAGCGGGGCGGAGCGCGGAGCGGCCCCTAACCTCCACGCGCCACCAAAACATTGCGGGCCGCGTCCGGCTGGGGCCCCTTTTCGTTAAAACGCACGACGCACGGCGACTCGGCAAACGGGCGACAGCGCCGCCGCGGGACTCGGGGAAGACCGCCCCTCCCCGCCCCACCCCGCCCCACCCCGCCCACTGCGCACCAGCCGCGCCACACGAATCGGCGTGTACTTTGTTTACATTCCGTGCCAACACATCCCAGTCCCTGCCTGTCCTGCCACATCCTTTGCATAGCGTTGAGGGCGTTTAGCATCGTTGGTGTGGCCGTCGAGGCCCGACGAGGGTTGTCAGCCCGCTTTCTTTGACCCTGGTCAGTGGTCAGTAATCCTGGTGCGGCCTTTAAATTGGGGGTTGGTGTCCTGTTGAGTGTTGCGTTACTTTGTTGGTTACACGCCAGCCTGATGACAGTTTGGCTTTGACGCTGGTGGTAACTGGGTTGCTTTGTCAGTGTTTTATCTGTAACCTTTTGAAGTTAGGTTTGATTATGGCCTTCAGCTGTCACATGTAATTAGTGCAAAAAGAATTTTGTCAACCTCCAAAAGATTTACGGTACCTATTTCTTCTGCTTGGACCGTAAACTGTGAGCGCGGGAAGCTCCATTGACCCATTTCAGGAGCGAGGACACCTTCATGTTGCCCCATGTCTAGAGTCCTACACCATCAAAACAATTTAACGTAATTTTATTTTTTAATAATTAGATTAGCAGTGTAAGGCGCAAATAAAAAGGGCGCTAAATGACAAGAGGCCCATCAACAAGACTTCTGTTTCTACCTGTCGAAGTGTGGTAGGTTGGCGTCCAAGGCACGGAGGCGCAGAACCGGGACCAGGCCGGTCTAAGCTAAGCCTGCAGTCCGTCCCGTCCAGGTCCGCCGGCCAGTCCGGCCCGGCAGTTGGACGGAAAGTTCCTCGAGTGGCTGCGCTCCGTGCCCTGGCCCTCCCCTGGCCCTCCCATGGAGCCGCGCTCCGCTCCGTTTGCGTCACTGGCAGAGCTGCCAGCATCCATGCAGCTCATACGCGCAGTCGCGCCCACCGTGAGAACGCTATTTCGGGAGCAGAAACTTGCAGCGCCCCGCCGCCTCCGTGTGGACCGTCATCCTGGGTAGGGGGTGCCGCCGCCCGCCTGGCCGCCCCGTACGTGGTGATAGGTGGGGTGCCGTATCTCTGGACCGTCAGGGCGGCAGAGCGGGCAGAGCGGTTCAGCACAGAGCCGCCGCTCCCACGAGTGCGAGGGAGACAGCTTCGTGTCTGGAGATTGGCACGCTCCAGATGACCGTCTTGACGTCTAGTCCCGCGGTCCGCTCCTCAGCGTCTTCCCTCGCTGCAGGCGGTCTCTCTCGCACCCTCACGAACGCCCCGCGAGTGCGAGAGAGAGAGAGCATGGGCGTCAGCCTGCTGGGTAGGCAGTCCCGGATGGCGCCGTACCGGGCTGCTGCACGTTGGGCTGCCTGCCCTCACGGCGTGTGCCTTGCTGGCTGTGGCCGAGGCTGTGACGCTGACGACCCGCCCGTCTCCACGGCATCGCGTCGCGCTGGCGGAAGGCAGTTCGAAATGCAGCCCCAGTCGCTTCGTCGAATGCAAGTACCAATCTGTCGCCAGCCTTGGAGAGTGGAGCAACGCGTCGTCGTTTTGGCGCGCATGTCGCACATGGAGTACTTATGCCCCCGCAGCACGGCTGCATTTGCCGGGGCGCACAGTGGGCCAGAAGACCGGTGGAGGCGGCCAAAACTCTAGACGCGTTTTGAGCTCCAGAGTCGCTAAATGGGACTCGAACCGATCGAGTGACCCCACCAATGGATTGCTCTCCGAACGAGGAATCCATTGGTGGGGTCACACGTTCGGTTCGAGTCCTGTTTAGCGACTCTGGAGCTCAAAACGCGTTTCGACTTTTGGCCGCTTCCACCGGTCTTCTGGTCCACTGTGGGGCGGTCGGACGACGGTTTGGTGGTCATGGCCAGCTCTGGGAGCAACTCTACGGCGGCGTCCAGGGGATCGGCTTTCGTCCTCCGGGCTCGGCGGCGCACGGCGGCGCGCTGCTGTCCTGGAACCTGCTCGGCGCGGCGATACGGCCATTTTGTGCGTGCCTGTACCGACCGCATTGGCAAGCACGCATTGACGTCAGAGCACGCTGGCGGCACGCTGGCAAAAGGCACGGCCGGCACGGCGAGGAAGGCAGCCAGGGCGCAGCGGCACGCCGGGCCACGCCACGCCGCCCGGCCACTCCTTTCTCTCGTGGAACGAATCCGCCCCGTCCCGTCGCGCTGCCGCTGGCTGCCGCTGAAAAGCAAAGCGCCAATCCGACGCACTGCTCTTATTTCCCTGTCTGTCCGAAGAGCGTCTTATCGCGTCGCTCTGTCTCTCTCGCGCCCCTGCGGTCATGGACGGAGTGTCTCTGTCTTGGCGCGGCACGCCGGCACGCCACTCCCACGCGCCGAGCGGCCAAGCGGCCAAGCCGAGCCCCGTGCCGCGGAGCCCCGCGGAGCCCCGTGGAGCAAGGGCCAATCGGTCGGTTTGAATGGCGTGGCTTGTTACTCGTTGCGCAGCAGACTGATTCCGAGAGTCGTTTTCGTCGCTCCGTCTCTCTCGCTCCCATGGAGCGTTCCAGGCGGGTGCGAGAGAGACGGAGCGACGAAAACGACTCAAGGCTGGCCCTTTATCTAGCCGTTGGCGCGTTAGCGGCCACTTCCTAGTGCCGCTGGCCCGCTGGCCGCTTTGGCGGAGGGCCTATCAAGAGTGATTGACTGCGGCGTCATCGGCGACGTGCTGGAGGCCGCGGAGGTCAGCGGGTCGCCCCGCCCGGGACGGCCGGACGGTGTGGCGTCGCGATAACGGCCTGCACCGCGACCTCCACGCTCTACTTGGCGCGGAGGACAACTTTGGTCCGGGGGATCCATGGACGCGTCCATGAGGTCCATGGTCCGGGGCAGAGACGTGCCTGCGTGCGTACCGCTAGGCGTGCCGGCCGGCCGCACGGCAGGCCTCTCTCTTGCACTCCAGCGGCGAACCTTGCGGCGTCCCTTGCGGCGTCCCGTGGGAGTGCGAGAGAGACGGTCTCGGGACTGTAAGGTCCGTGGCGTCGCTGGCCGCGAGCCTGCCGCGCCTAGCCCCGCCTAGCCCCGCCGAGCCCCGCCCCCCGCGGGGCCCACGGCGCGGCCCGCGGCGCTCGCGGGCAACGGCACCAGGTCGGATGCTGGCCGAGACCCGCTGCCTCGCCGGGGAAAAAGGACTAGAATGCCGGATGGACGCTAGAGCGTGTCCGGGGTTCGCGCCCTCCGAAAAAGTGGTCTTGGTCGTGTCAACAGGGCGAGGACGGCTGGAGTCGCTTGCCGCGCTGTGTGCCACACAGTGTGCCACACTGTGAGCCATACTGTGAACGTGGCCGTCGAGGGCCTTACTCACGCGGACTGTACAGCTCACTTGAACTTGCCGTGCCTCCCACATGGCACGCCATTGGCGGGGGCGGCGCGGGGCTCTCAAGGCTGTCTGAATAAGGTTTTCAAATTCGCGGCGAGCGAAGCGACACACGGCCGAGCCGCGAGAGCAAATATTGCCTCAAAGTCGACGACGGGCGTGTTGGACTTGAAGCGCATACCAGTGTAAGTGTAACCCTTGCTTGGTGCACTGCGGGGCAAGCTGCGGGGCTGCCGGGGTCAAGAGGGCACAAGTGGCGTGCCGTCTCTCTCGCACCTCTCGGGGACACGCCCCTGGGGTGCGACGGAGACGGAGCGACGCAGAGCGGCAGAGCGGCCTGCAGACTCGGGCTGAAACGAGCGACAGCCAAGCAGCGAAGCAGCGAACGGCGCGGAGGTCATGTTTGACGTCACGCGGCTGTGGGCTTCGCTGCTTCGCTGTGCTCGGCCAGGCTCGGCCAGGCGCGGCCATCCGCCTGGAGTGTGGAACCGTGCACCGCCTTGCCGCCACGCCGCACGCCTTGCTGAAAACGAAAAACAGCGGCGGACAAAAGGCGCTGCAAGCAAGGCGCTGCAAGGCACTGGTTCGTTCCGCCGCGCGTTCCGCCTTAGCAACGGGGAGGCGGCCGAAACGAGGCTATCTCGATTTGGATTCAGACTCCCATTGACTGTCTCGCTCGCCTGCGTGTTGCTATAGTCCGGCTTATCTCTGCCAGTGTGCAAATTGTAATTTTTCTTTTAATTGCCGCCTCTCTTTAGTGCCGATAAAGCGTGGCAATAGCAGCGCCCCCTCTCCGCTATTTTTACACCCGGCGGTCCATTTCGCGTCGTATCGACGGCGGGAAAGTCGCGCGGCCTTATCAGCACGGGGGAAAGGAAAGGGACGGAGAAAAGCGAGAAAAGCACGCCTTCCCGAGTCGTCGCGGCGCGTCGCGGCGCGTCGCGGTGTTCTTTGTTGCTGTTTTCTGTCTGGTTGGCTGCTCGCTGTCTGTGCACGTCGTCGAGGAGGGACTCGTCATTTGTTGTTGTTGTGTTGGCCCAGCTGGAGGGCCGCCTGGCTGAAGCTAAGGCTGGCGCCGCATTCAGACACCATTCATCGCTCTCCACTGTATTGGGGGTGACGCAACCCTCTTGAGGCCGTCCGCCGC